CGAACAAAGTTGAGTTGGCTATCGAAACATATATGGCTTTACATGACCGTATCTTCTATTGCACAAATATGTTTATATACGTATGTTTTTCCATGCATTTATTTATTATTCCATCCAGCAATTTCCACATATCCTCAAATCCTCTTTGCTGTCTGCACTCTGCTTTTCTCTTTTTGTCCTCTACTAGTCCTTCAGACTGATTGGTCATCCGCGAGAGATACAATGCTGATCTATTTAGATAGCGAGAGACATAAGAGACTAAGAGAAAAAAGATAAAGCATGAAAAAAATGTTTATTCTAAACGCATATGAACGGTCCGAATTGTCTGGCTTTGTAGTCTGGTTTCTTGTGCATGTTCAAAACATCATTTATGCATGTTGTGGGCTAGTGCACTCGTGCCATTTCGTCCTGAATGCCTTTACTTCTTAGGCTGTTTCTGATGCATTAAAAAAACTAAGGTTACTTTGATATGTTTTGACTCTATTTCATTTAAGGTAATTAAAGACTGGTAGTTTAACTTTCTCACAATGATATGAGTAGAGCTGACCTTTCCATTGAATTCCACACAGCCTTGCTTTCCCAAAAAGTGTCTTCATTCATGGCAGACTGCAGTTTCGACCTCGCATCGGTCTTATCAACACCCCCAGTCGGAATCGAACCGTGATGGTGCAGCCAGTGAGCTTGACACTCGGCCACGTTGCCCTGGGAAGATGTGAATTTCAAGAAAGGTCAGGCATTTTCCATATCACATTCTGTTTGCTATAGCAATCGACAACATTACTTAATAATAAAAAATGCAATGCCGTCGATTACTATAGCAAATATAATTTTATTTCATCGACAATCCCAATTCAGAATGTGATATGGGAAAAGGCCTGACCTTTCTTGGAATTCACATCTGTCCTGTGACCCAAGGCAACTAGTGGCAATGTAACTGGGTTGTTAACTTGTCAAGCTCACATGCTGCACTGTCATTGTTCGACTTCGGCTGGGGGTTTTGATAAGACCTATGCGAGGTCGAAACTGCAGTCCGCCATGGATGAAGACACTTTTTGGAAACGCAAGGCTGTGTTAAATTCAATGGAAACATCAGCTCTACTCATATCATTGTGGGAAAAATCAACTATCAGTCTTTCATCTCATATAACTGATTTACTGGTAGTCTCGAAAACCTACTAAATAACGAATAGAGCCACTTTGTTAATTAGGTTGTGAACGACCAGACATCGGTATTCGAGCAAATGTCTGGAACTTTTCTGATTAGCGGTACCAGGCAACTATGCCATAAGAGATACAAGTCTTCCTCAGATATAGTGGGTGTTTGTATGCAAGAAACAAAACTATGAGGTACAGCACAATCGAACCCGAGGTTGAAAAATGCCAATTAATCATTTATCAATTCCCGCACACACATACTCACACACGAATTTTTTTTCTTCCAACAGTTCCATCTACTTTCTTACCTGCTTTACTCATTTAATTTAGATTTATTCCTCTATCGCCTTGCCTTTTTTTGAATACTTCCTGGGGTTTTACTGGTTTTCGTATGCCAATGCATTTTTACCTACTTACTATTGGAAAGTGGCATCACTAAGCATGCACACACGCTGTTTGTATTCATATTTCTTTTGGTATAACTTTCATTTTGTGTGAACAGGCTAGTGGAATGGAGTCGTAAGTTTGCATCACCGAAAGCCGAACCGGGGCTGCCTTTTAGCTGTAGATTTGTGCGAATAAGGCCTCGGCAAATTGGGTAGCAAGTTCGATGAGTCTTGAGTGAACTTTCCTTCACTCAGAACATGACATCATGTTTTATGATAATTCATCATAACACGAAGACAAGAAAGGTCAAGCAAGATCCTTACTTTTGTTAAATTCTTATTTTACCCCATTATTTTTTATTTGCTTAATAACCTTTTCATTATGCACAAACCGCAACATGTTGTGATCCATTCGACAGCTGTCATCAGCTTCGCTGATATAATAGACGTCTTCCCTGACTCCCGGCTGACGCTTCCTCCTTTCCAAAACGCCGTTAATGCGAATACTGGCAGTCTGCGCTCCAACTTGGCCTCACCAAACACAGCATATCGGACATTTTGCATCCTCTTAGTAACCTCGCCCGCCTGTCCGCCAGGTCCGTTGCCACCCGCACGACCGTCCCTCCATCAAGTCGGCTCCACCCCCCTTAGCAGATCCAGTTCCAAGGTCCGTGGACGCCAGTCGACCCCGGTCTCAGCAACAACCACTTCCGAGCTGACCGGCAATACGTCCAGCCGGTTGGATTTCTCCAGTCCGAGAGATGCGTCTGAGCGACCGGAAGGCGTTAGAGGATGTCCATTTGTTTCTACCGCTCTCCTCTACCTACAAGCCCCATCGCCTGAGGTGATGCGAGTCTGGATTGATGCCCTATTCACCTGTGCTGGCGCCTACCTCACCTTGAGTGCACCTTCCTCCGAGCACGGCTAATTCCCACCTCTCATTCCCTCACCCTCTCTGTTGTCTTCCGTAAAGGTAGATCCAGTTTCCTCTCACCACCTATGCTCTCCGTTTGCCTCTCGCCTTTACAAACTTGCCTTCGAAATCATCTTACTTTCCTATACATGCAGTACTATTGCATTCATTCTAGCCTAGTTAATTTGCTACGTAATGAGGATGCTCCGAAAGTATCGGTAGATCCTTTGCCAGGACTATACTCCTCTTAGGTCTCGTAAGATGATATCAGGCCAAATTAACTATGAGGATCTCGATGTAGCTCGCCTCAAGGCTTTTTCAACCGTTCACCGACACTTTCATCTCGTCATCAGCCCCGACGGGGTTGGAAAATAGGCCTTGCGTCTCCAACTGCCACCTCATCCCTTGGCCACACGCCACTGCTAAGACTATCCAGTTCATCGCCTTAAGAGCTGCAATATCCATCCTTAAAAGATCACAAAACTGCCACTTCCGAGTTCGAACCTCAAGCCTCTTCTCATTTTTTGCTAGCCACCATTGCCACTAAAACAGCTAGACATTGGTCAGGACGATAAATATAAATGCTGTATTTTTCAACATCCACTGTTGATGTGAAATCTCTCGCGAAAAATTAAGCATAGTGGACAGACTTCCTATCGCTGCACTAAGGAATCGGACAAAACTGGCATTTCTCGACAAAATTATAGACACTCTAAAAGAATCAATCACAACCCTTGGACCACATTAGCATTAGTTAGAATTTTTCGCGATTGCCGACTTCCCACTTAGTCCATTTAGCCTGTCTCAGCAAAGCAAACTTTATCCGTTCGAAATGGAAGACACTTTTCGATCTGCATCGGAGAGTTACCTAAGAAGAAACCGATGATCTTGTACAACACTTGGACATGTAAGCAATTGTCTGGGTCTTTATCGAGAACTCTGCTACCGATTCAGCAAATTCCAAGCTTGTATATAAAGGCTATTTACCATATCGTAAATCTGCCATCTTCCTAATCAGAAAGCGAACCCATAGACTTGATTGAGCTTCGCGGCTTACAAATTCAGAATTGACGACGACAGACGGCAAAGATCTAAAAGTTTATCTTTTTGCCAATTTTCTATCATTGGGATGTTTTGGAGCAGAATTAACACAAATACATTCCTTTTTTCTTTTATTAATTCTCTAATGAGTTATTTAGCTTTGATACCGTGGCATTTATCTTCATTTTAGGAAACGCTGTGTCTGAATGCTCGTTGTAAATAATATCTGTTTCCTTATATAAAAGTAACAAATGGATGAGCGACACATTTTCCCATTCTTTATCAAGTAACACTTTGACACGATCTCCTCATATCTGTAAATAATTTCATACATGTTCTCAGTGCAGAAATATGATCCTATTTAAAAGTGATTCTTCTTTTCAAAAAGCTAGTTGGTAAATTTCAACTTTTTTTTTATTTTCTAAGAGTAAATAGTTATCCGAAACAGTTGGATTAAGTAGACTGGAACCTTAGACTCTCATAAGGGCTACAGAGGGCTCGCTTTAGCCATTTAA